TTTATATAACGTATACTGTATAATTGCTGTTACGGATTATTTATATATAAATTGATAGTAATTTACAAACCATTAGTGTCTTGCAAAAATAGATTAGCTCATTCAGCAAGTACGTAGATGATGATTTTTATGCGTTGATTCTTATTTTATACAAAAATTATTTAAAACTATAATAGAGAGAAACAGGACTACGAGCCAATGAATTCGTTAAAATCTTTAATTTATTCTAATATATTGCGAAGAATATCACGTAATTAATATAATTTACAAGTGACTTAGATATGAAAAGATTAATGTTTATAAAATAGAGCTACAGCCACACGCTAGATTTATTTAGCGACGTTTATTAAAAAATAAATAAATTAAGATGCAAACGTTTCGGACCTAAATACAACCTTCAGTACAATTGAACTGAAGATGGCTACATTTAGGGCCGAAACGTTTGCATCTTAATTTATAATGTATAGACTAATGTTTTATAATAAACATCGCTAAATAAATCTAGCGTGTGGCTGTAGCTCTATTTTACAAACATTAATCTTTTTAATATCACGTAATTTTGGCGTTTTGTCCCGGCTTACACAACTGAACTCATCAGTAAAGTATTGTAGTGGAAGCCTACCTTAGACGCCTGGGAAAGTTATTAATCGAGAATCTATGTAAAGAGATATACGCATGTCAAAGCACTTTCGAGAATTTGCGTATATCGATAGACTTCTGATGGCGGGTCGACGATATAGTAATATTCTTCGCAATATTTATCCAATGTAATATATATATTCCCATCTCCCCTAAACTTGCGCGCCGAATAATCGTCGGTCTTAAAACGCAACTCTAATAATCTGAAATAACGTCCCCTTAATCAAATTGTGATTTTAAACGCATCTTTTCGCCCGCGTAAATTAAAATATGTTTTTAATATGGCTCAATAAATTTAAAACTAATAGAGAGAAACAGGGCTACTAGCCAATGAATTCGTTAAAATCTTTAATTTATTCTAATATAACAAGAAAGTAGGAAGCACGAAGCAAAGCCAATAACGGTCAAAGTTGGATCACGATGCTTTATATTATCATTATGTGTGAATTTTATATACCGCGTATGTAGTTCCCCTAATCGCGTGCCGAAATTTTTTTCAGACTTACAACGTAACTGTATACAACTACCGCGGTAATATCACTTTAGTTAAATTGACATTATTCGAATATATTGCGAAGAATATGAAAATTATTTATTCTGATATATAAAAGATAATTTAGTAGAAAAATATTCACATATCGATGCAAGACTAAATATTCACTCAAAAAAGTGATTTTGCAATTGTAACGAAAATAATTTAGATATGAAAAATTAGCTAAAACAGACAAATTCTAGCGGAAGCAGTAAAATATTTTTTTGTGTGTTTAATGAAGCTATTGAGAGCTATATTGCGTCGTTTATTCAATATTTCTCTCAGGATCAAAATTTTATAATATTTGATTCCGTAATCAAAGTCAATATTCATTGTTGATTCCTGTTTGCTAATACGATCTAAATCCGTGATAATATCCGTGATTGATTTATAAACCTTCTAATACTTATTTATTAAGACAGTCTAGAATAGTGTAAGTAAGAAAGAACGAATGTTCTATGATTATACATATATGCTGTACCAATATACTCTGTTTGCGTGAAAAGAAATAAAAATATTGTAATTAACTCTTATGCCTTTCTCTAAAGCCTAAATATTTGGCCAAATGAAAAAGTAATCATTGTAACAATCACTTTTGATATGATATCTAAAAAAAGCCTGTTATACGTATTTAGGCTTCTATTTTGTAACTCTAAATGACAGTAATGATGTCATTACACTGTCGTATTGCGAAGATTTTTACATGGTAAACATCTACGCAACGATAATATAACGATATTGTTACTGTCGTTAAAAGTTATAGAATAATATAGTTTTAATGTTGGTTACATATATGATTAGAAATTATTGGCTCATTGCCCTTATCTCTTTATATTAGTTAGTGAGAACAAATTTTAGTTTGCGACGCACAGTGGCGCATGACTTCAGGCGACATATATTTACATTAGCTATGTTTTTATGATATTATTACGTAAATCGACATCAATTTTGACCTCGAGATCTCTATTGATAATTCTGAAGGTCATCATCGCTTTCACTTCAGCGAGCGCTTGATTCAATGCCAATTCTGTGCGCAAAACGAGAATACAAACGTGTGTGTCTAGATCTTATTTATAGCAATTGCATAATAAATGAGAAAGATAATCATGAGAATGCATTTTCATAAAGCTCGAAAATCGTAAATTTTAAATATGAATATAAGTGAACTTCAAATTTCAAAGTATATATACATATATATATTGTATATAATGTCTAACATTTTTTCGTTGCTAAAATGTGTTTATTTTTAATATCAATTTATATCAATATTTTTTTTTTTACCCCTAAATCTTAATTATTTAAAATTTGAATAAGATTAAATTATTATTCAAAATTTTTTATAAATACACATTTATATATATGCAAGTAATATGATCTTGATATAAACTATGACGTTAAAATATATCGATTTTCTTATTACAATTATTGATTTAAAAAATACAATACAAAACTACAGTGTCCATTACAAATTTTAATATTGCACTTCTTATCTGTTATTACACTATTTCTATGTAGATATACAATATATATATTTCTTTTAACAGTAAGAGTGTCAAATAGTAGGAAGTATTTAAGTCTACCGCTGGATATTTTGCGAAAACGAAAATACATATAATTACTATATTACGCAAATCAATCTGCGGAACTACTCTCATTTGTTAAATTTTAAATATTTATATTTATTTTTATTGTTAAATTTTTAAAAGTTTGTCATTTATTATTATTTTATTTTACGAAAGTTATTATTTATTAATCTACACTACATGTATAAAACATGTATAAAATCTACTAAATGTATAGAACGTTTTCGATCATCATTCAACTATCAATTATTAAATTTTGACTACTTTTGATTGTTTGAAAAAGTTACTATACTGAAAATGATCATATATACGTATATCATAGGATCACCCTCAGCTTAATCATTTTTTTAAACAATCAATAATCGCTAAAATTAATAATTCTAATTGAAGAATTAAAGGACTCTTTTATATAACAATAATTAATACATTAAAAATGGCGAATAAGAGTCAAATAACAATTTAAAATCTAAATCTGATAATTTATTCTAATATTCTATATTGCGAAGAATATCACGTAATTTTTAAGTCTAAGGTAGGCTTCCATTACAATATCTTACTGATGAGTCCAGTAGTGGAAGCCGGGACGAAACGCCAAAAAAATTACATGATATTCTTCGCAATATAGAATATTAGAATAAATTATCAGATTTAGATTTTAAATTGTAATTTGACTCTTATTCGCCATTTTTAATGTATTAATTAGTAATAATTCTGTACATATGTTAATTATAAAAGTTTATATCGTCACTAAATTCGTTTTTTAGAAGGAGTTTAGATCATTAGTAATTTATTAATAAACCTCATATTATTCTATATGTTATTATTTATCTTTTACTGTTTTTTCCGAAGTAGAAAATGTCCATGCTGCATTATAATTTTTTACGTAAAAGGTTTTTTAATAAAAATGATCATAGTCTATAGTTATTTATACACAGAAATACCAGTTTCTGGAATGCGTCTAAAAAACTTCGGAAGAAAAAAGATAAATTGCAACATCTAATTATAGAAGAATGTGAAATTCATTAACGAATTACTAAGGATCTATTTTTGATTATTTGAAAAAAATTATTATACTGAGGATGATCCGATAAGTGAATCTAAATAAACTTTAGCACAAATATTTATTATTATTCGATCAGTATGTTTAAAAATTGATCTTTCTCATCAAAGGAGGATATTAAAAAAATATCGATTTTTATTCTCAAAATACCTGAATAGACTAAATTAAATTATAATATCCGCTCAAATGAATTTTTCAAATTAAACTTAATATACCTCCCCGGTCAAGAACAAATTTGAGCTATACTAGAGTTGTTAGAAATATATATATAAATTTATTATAATAATAATACCGGTATATACGGAAAGTTTCGACTTCACAGAGTCCTCAACAGCCGCAACCGAATTCTTAAAATTAATTTAATATATTGCGAAGAATATTACTACGTCGACTCGCCATCAGAGGTCTATGGATATTCGTAAAGTTTCTCGCAAGTGCTGAAATACGCGCATATCTGTATATATAGAATCTTGATTTAAGAACTAAAACAGGCGTCTAAGGTAGGCTTCCACTACGTTACCTTACTGATAAGTCCAGTAGTGGAAGCCGGGACAAAACGCCAACTTGTGATATTCTTCGCAATATATTAAATTAATTTTAAGAATTCGGTTGCGGCTGTTGAGGCTCTGTGAAGTCGAAACTTTCCGTATATACCGGTATTATTATTATAATAAATTTATATATATATTTCTAACAACTCTAGTATAGCTCAAATTTGTTCTTGACCGGGGAGGTATATTAAGTTTACCTAAATAGATCTCAAAAAAATCATCATTTGAGTCCTCAGACAACATTTAAGTCCACTAAAAAAACATTAAAAAATTTTAAAAAGTACATATTTCAAGACTTCACATTTTGTAATTTCTAAGAAAAGGATGATAAAATCTGAAAAAGTGCAGGTCTAATACATTTTAAGAATTCTCATTCTATAATTTCTAAAAATAAAAACTTGGAAAATCTAAAAACTTGTGAAGTGTTTATAAAAAATCTTCATAAATTTCAAATATAAAGAATTCTGAATAACTATGTAAAAAAAAATTTTGAGAACAATTTTCGAAAGGGATAGTATAATATTTAAAGAAATTAATCGTTCCAGGTTCTAGAAAACCCTTGATTGACTTTAAATTATCTGAAAAATTATTACAATTCAGTTGGTAATATTAAACACTTATTACCATTTTACAAAATGGTGCAGCAAAAGGCAGTGATCGTAAGGAACGCCATAAAGCGTTATGGAAAAAATTTGGTGTTCGATGGCCTGAATATGACTGTTTCAAGAGGTTCCATGTAAATATGTTACTTATCATGTTAATATGAAAGACTAATCGCTTTCGTATTCATTTTTGTTTCGAGTTTGTAAAAAATAATCCAATTTTCAAAAACAAATCACTGAGAAGATGTTATTATATAGATACAGGAAAGAAAGTAATGCAATTAACATTTTCGATAATTTATTTATTTTTAATATTATTCAATAAAAATTCAAAAAAAAATTTAATATTATTCAATAAAAAATAGAAATAAAAAATCTCTTTTGAATGTGCTGTTTAAAATAAAATAAAGCCTATAATGACGAAATTTTTCCCCTAAACAGCTATGGTCTATTAGGTGCCAGCGGATGTGGAAAAACCACACTGTTGTCTTGCGTAGTCGGAATTCGATATTTCGACAGTGGAGAAGTATGGGTTGTTGAGGACTCTGTGAAGTCGAAACTTTCCGTATATACCGGTATTATTATTATAATAAATTTATATATATATTTCTAACAACTCTAGTATAGCTCAAATTTGTTCTTGACCGGGGAGGTATATTAAGTTTACCTAAATAGATCTCAAAAAAATCATCATTTGAGTCCTCAGACAACATTTAAGTCCACTAAAAAAACATTAAAAAATTTTAAAAAGTACATATTTCAAGACTTCACATTTTGTAATTTCTAAGAAAAGGATGATAAAATCTGAAAAAGTGCAGGTCTAATACATTTTAAGAATTCTCATTCTATAATTTCTAAAAATAAAAACTTGGAAAATCTAAAAACTTGTGAAGTGTTTATAAAAAATCTTCATAAATTTCAAATATAAAGAATTCTGAATAACTATGTAAAAAAAAATTTTGAGAACAATTTTCGAAAGGGATAGTATAATATTTAAAGAAATTAATCGTTCCAGGTTCTAGAAAACCCTTGATTGACTTTAAATTATCTGAAAAATTATTACAATTCAGTTGGTAATATTAAACACTTATTACCATTTTACAAAATGGTGCAGCAAAAGGCAGTGATCGTAAGGAACGCCATAAAGCGTTATGGAAAAAATTTGGTGTTCGATGGCCTGAATATGACTGTTTCAAGAGGTTCCATGTAAATATGTTACTTATCATGTTAATATGAAAGACTAATCGCTTTCGTATTCATTTTTGTTTCGAGTTTGTAAAAAATAATCCAATTTTCAAAAACAAATCACTGAGAAGATGTTATTATATAGATACAGGAAAGAAAGTAATGCAATTAACATTTTCGATAATTTATTTATTTTTAATATTATTCAATAAAAATTCAAAAAAAAATTTAATATTATTCAATAAAAAATAGAAATAAAAAATCTCTTTTGAATGTGCTGTTTAAAATAAAATAAAGCCTATAATGACGAAATTTTTCCCCTAAACAGCTATGGTCTATTAGGTGCCAGCGGATGTGGAAAAACCACACTGTTGTCTTGCGTAGTCGGAATTCGATATTTCGACAGTGGAGAAGTATGGGTTTTAGGAGGAAATCCGGGCAGCAAGGGTTCCGGTATTCCTGGGCCTCAAGTAGGTTATATGCCTCAGGAGATCTCCTTAGTCGGAGAATTCACTACGAGTGGTGCTCTATATTATTTCGGCAGAATCAACGGACTCGGTGATAAGGAGATTGGTAGGAAAACAATACTGATATTATTGCATGTAACACGTCGCAAAAAAAATGTAGTATTCTAAGAACTTTTAATTTTATAAAACATTTTCAAATATCTCTCTCTTTTAAAATATCTTTTGAACGTTTCAGTTTTTATTTTAAATAACTCTTACATAAGAAATTTTTCAGCATAATTTATAAAATTAATAATATTAAGAGAAGGCTCGACAATAATTTATAAATTTAAAAAAAATTATAGCTTCTCTGTATTATTTCTAAGAGACGAGACAGAGGTTCTTCTCGGAGTTGTTGCAACTACCCCCAGCAAATCGTCTAGTAAAAAACATGAGTGGAGGTCAACAGAGAAGAGTTTCTCTTGCCGCTGCGATGATTCATAAACCTGAACTTCTAATCCTGGACGAACCCACTGTGGGTTTGGATCCAATTTTGAGAGAAAAGCAAGTAGATTTTGCTTCCTTTTTAGGTAAGATAAGCAAAAGATAATAATAAAATATTTTATACTTTTTCTTCATAGCATTTGGGCTTATATGATCCAGATTACGCAGGAGGAAGATATCACCGTGCTGATTACAACTCATTACATCGAAGAAACTAAAGATGCTAATAAAGTGAATATTATGTCTTATAAATTAATCATAATTATATCCATGTAAAAAATTGCTACAAAATATCTTATACGGTTTTAAAAAATTGTTCTTTAATTTTTAAAAAAATCTTGTTTTGCTTAATAACATAAATTTGGTCGTATTTAATATTGTGTATTTTCAACATTCTGCAGATCGGTTTGATGAGATGTGGTAAAATGTTGGCGGAATTAGCACCACAGAAATTACTGGAACAATTTCAATGTTCGTCCTTGGAAGAAACTTTTCTGAAACTGTGCAAAGCACAGGACAATACAGTTTCTTTAAATGACGTTCAGGAATCCAAAGTAGAAGATACTGGCAGTGACGTTTCGTATCAAAACCAATATGAACAAGCAAAAGTACGTATAGAAACGATCTATGTGCTAACCATTATTATAAAAAGTTATCTAAATCTGTGTATTATTTTATAATACAAATAAATTGGATTGAATTAAGGCAACCTTGGAGTACAAATCGGTTTCAAAACGTCAAGTTTCGCGATTCAAAAGATTCACAGCTCTATTAGCGAAAAACGGCAACCAATTTTTACGTTTTTATGGGTAAATATTTATTGATAATATTTTATAAGATTTCTATTTTTGAACATTAAAATGATGATTCTTATGTATTTTTAGTTGTCGAAAAAGAAAATAAGTACAAAAAAGTTTTATTACCTACAAAAATTTTAAGAAATAAAATTTTATTTTTCAATAAATTTAGAAATTTGTAAACAATTTACAATTATTTTTATTTTATTTTACAAAATACAATACTTAAATGTCACTATTTAAATTAAAAAATAGAAATATGGTATTATAAATCAGCATTATTTTTTGACACAGATATTTTTTACTAAATTTTCTTATTTTAATCACTTAAAATTATATATATATAAGGACAATTTACCACAATGTTTATTTTTATATATCGTAAAAAATATACAGTCAAACCCCCTCCTATAACAAAGTACTCTCAGAACACGGTTTCGATATACACATGTAACACAATGTAAAATGCGACTTACTATACAACATAGAATCCTCCGAGAAAATGGTTTTTATGTAGCACGACTTAATAAAGTTGAGAAACCCTCATAATATGAATTATGTATTTCATCCAGGAACTAAAATCGAATATTATTTCGGTAATTCTACAGTTTAGGTGTAACATAAAATCTATTCCCTTGATCTGCATCGCTTAAGTTTCTCTTAGCGCGGTTTCAATGCAACATGAATCAACCGTGTTATAGAAGGGTGACAGAAAGAAAGAGCGAAAGAGAGTTGACTGTATAAATTTTTTATAGAAGAAATTCAAAACGAAGTTTTTAAAAATTAAAGGATGATGGAATTTTGTAAAAGCTTTTAAAAGTTCCACTAGAGTTCTATAAAACTCTCAATAAAGAAATACTCATTCTTTATTGAGAAACAAAAAAATTTGTTCCATTACAGAGTAATTGATTCCTTTATAGAAGAGGTCTACTTTATACATCCACAAAATAAAATTCAAGTATTGTAATTTCCACAATTTTGCTATTAATAAATTAATTAATTCCGCATGCAGTCGAAATGTCTCGTGACAGTCGAATGGTTTAAATATCATACCAGTCAGCAGTCGGGAGTATTTAAAATAATTTTATTTAAAACATATATTTCAAATATATATATATATATATATATATATATATAATTCAGATTTATATATCAATTTTTATACACAATTTCATAATATTAATAGATACATATTTTTCAGAGGATTAGTTTATGCAATATTATTTCCGATAATTCAAATTTCCGTATTTATTATTGCAATTGGTAAAGATCCGAAAGGATTGAAAATTGGAGTTGTCAATAATGAAGCTGGTAACTGCGATTATGGCAGCAACTGTGGTAATGTTTGGAATGACGAAATTACCTGTCACTTTAATAACCTGAGTTGTAGGTTCTTGCATGATTTTAGTGACTCCATTGCAACACAGGTATAATGACAAAGATTAATAACGTTTAATACATACATAATTAATAATGCTATATATTTTCTTGGTGTTCCTTTTCTGTTAATTTGTTCACAATAAATAAAAATAAAGATCTTCCAGAATATTCCAGTATAAGTTAAAAGGATAGAATACTAATATACTAAATTAAATATTATAGTTGACATGTATCTTAAAACTTCTTACTAATATACACTTCAGGAGTATTACGACGATATTTATGAGGCGAATTATGCCATACAAAATGGGAAACTCAATGGTTTGATGTATTTTAGTCAAAACTTTTCTGAATCTCTTCAAATACGAATGGAAGATGCCACTATGGCAAAGGATTCCGATCTTCTTGCTAGTCAAATTCAAGTTTTTTTAGATATGGGTGGTATGTAATTTATGTATTATCACAGAGTGTTTTCCATAATAAACTTAAAAAATTTAATTAGTTTATACATACATCAAATGTCAAATAAAAAATATTTAAAAATTATACAAAAAGATTAAAAAATAGTAAATCACAAGAATTTTAACAAAAACGGAACGCAAATTAATTAACTTATAATAAAATTATGAATACATAAATTTACAATATCTTTGTTATAGATATGCAAATTGGACTTCATCTACAGAAAAAGTTATTCTATCGTTTCTTAGAAATTTATGAGGACATTATGAGAGACTGCAAATATTCGCCAAAATTGGCCGATCCACCCATTCGAGTAAGAATATTTTATAATTTTATTATATTTAATTTCTCTTTCTCTCTCTCTCTCTCTCTCTCTCTCTCTTCTCTTTCTTTATTGTGTAGAACAAAAAATTAATTAATACAATGAAAATATTTTCAGTTCAAAAAACCCGTTTATGGTTCGATAGATCTCAATTATGCAGATTTTTTAGCACCATCATACATGTTAATGTAAGCAAAGATCAATTTAACATAATAAACGAAATCAATTGCTGTTACTAAATTATTTACTTTTACAGACTTATCTTTTGTTTAGCAAGTTCAGTCTCTACCTCCGTGATAATTACAGATCGACTAGAGGGTGTTTGGAATCGAAGTATAGTCCAAGGTATTTTATTAATTTAGTCACCAAAATTAGTTTTAGAATTACTTTTTTATTACTTCTTCATATCATAATAATACGAATGTAAATATGCCATAGGGGTCAGAACAAATGAAATCCTATTGTCTCACATTATTATTCAGAGCATTATCATAGTCGTTCATACCACCATGATAATGCTCTTATACTTTTCTATATGGGGATTGGAAAGTAAAGGATCGATATTTGATGTAATAATCCTTACATTTCTCATGGGTTTTTGCGGTTTGATGTATGGTGAGTTTTCCATGTGATTGTAGATATATCAAAAGAATCGTGAAATATTTTAGAAACCGCTTGAAATTAGATTAATTATTCGTGTTAATGCATTCTTAGGTTTCGTTATTTCTATTATGTGGACAAATTACACGATGGCGCATTACAGCTCGACTGGAAGCTTTCTCGCGCTAATATTACTTAGTGGTAAGTTCTTACTTCTTTGTTTTATAAAATTTTCTTTTTACTTTAATTTAGTTCTGTTAAATACCGTTAAAATATGTTAACGTGATTATTTTAGAAATTATATTACGATTATTTCTAAAATTACGTTCATGAGTATAATACACTTGTTAACAAAATTATTACAACATTGTCACGACATTGTCACAAAATAACTTCAAGTAAGCATAACATCTATGAAAAATGATTGTATTTAAATTTTTTTTTTATTATTTTTAAAAGAATAAAGTTTGCACTTTAAGAAAATTTTATATATTATTTGCTACAAGTGTAGCAAATAATATATAAAAAATTTTAGCAAACGTTTGTCAATAATAATAGAAATACAATATTTAGAGAAAAATTATCATTTACTGTAGTAGATTTTTTAATTATACTAATTTACAAAATCATAGGATGTATTTGGCCAATAGAGGGAACGCCAAAAGTGCTTCGTTGGATTAGCTATATGTTGCCAACTACCTTGCCTTCTATATCTATGAGAGGAATCATCTACAAAGGCTATTCTGTATCTGAAGAGCAAGTTTATATTGGTTTCATAATAGTTATAGGATGGACATTGTTTTTCTTTATCGTAGCTATACTTGGTATAAGATGGAAATCTTCGTAAGATCACTTAAAATTTCTAAAGAGAATTCTTCAAACGGAAAATAGAAACAGTTTGATATAGATTGGAAAGTTTGGATAAATATATACATAGAACGCTTTATTTAATTTAATATAATATACTATATGTACAGGATAGTGTATTTTAATCAATATATTCAATTTTCTTCGAAATTATTAATGGTACGAAAAAATGTTTTAATTAAAAGTAGAACGATGTTAAGTGAAATGTATTTTGGTCGTTATTTTTCTTCCAAGTAAAAACGCTAAAAAGATATGAAGGATACACCTCTATTTTTTTAATAGTTACATGATTTATTTACGTAGTATGTTTTCTTTAAATTTATAAAATATTAGATATCCCGCGCGTAAACTTAATTTAATTTTTTAAAATCGTATCTTTGAAACTTTTATAAACAGAATAATAAGATAAATTTATTGGCGTAAAGAAAATGCGTAGTACACATAGTTACTTCAAAAATACACTACTCAACAACATCCATTTGTCCACATAATTCTGTAGGTATAATGAATCAGTTAGATTAAAATATTAATTTTTGATTTTAAAACTATAATAGAGATTTCAAGTTTTTAAATGTTTTTTTGTTTTTTTTTTGTTACCGATGATTTTTTACCGAGTTACGGTGTTTTGAATATTACACAATTTTGAGCGTGTTCGAAAGTATTCCCTATTTTTTGTTGAACAGTATAGATATATAGATGAAATTAATTTTTAAGTAAGCAGCTATATTTTCTTTACACTAATTAATTCATCTCATTACTCCGTTTTTAAAAGTATTAAGAATTAAAATTATCAAAAAATTAATAGTTTATATTACGAAATATTTGACACTTCACGCCAAATGTGCCAAAATAGAATATAAAATATCTTGTAAGTTATTAGTTAATATCTCTGCATTAACACTTTTACATGCACAATAATTATAGAAATTATATTACGTAAGGAAATTATATAATTTTATTTCAAAAGGTAGAGGTGACTTCATATTTTTTTGGTGTCTCCATCTAAAACCGATACTGTTATTAGTTGCATCACAACGTCGCAAGCACGTCGCAAGCATTGCGATCATGCAAGCTTGATGTTGATAGGACCGCAATGCTTGCGACGTTGCAATGTGGCTAATGTGGAACCAGCTTAAAAGAAAAACATGACAAAATACATCTGCCATACACGAAATCATTTTACTTTCTAAAACATTTTTTCGTATCATTGTTAATTTCGATAAAAAGATTTAGTAACTAATATTTTTTTTATTTGAATTCGTCGTGCATGTAAATTAAATTTTCTTTATATTCCATTTTAATTCAATAATTATACTTTATTTTAATTTTAATACATACTTGTCATATATACTAATACATCAAGAATAACATAAAATTAATCAAATAATTATTATTATGTAATAACATTGTAAAATTAAATGTTGTCAAAGAATAGTGATAGAGTTTAGAAAAAAGTAACTTGAGTATTATACAAAATATGTGTATATTTAGATTTAATATAGTATTTAATCATATTAATAATTAGATCGTATAAAAGTTTATATTACCTAAAAATAGTTTAATCGATTTTAATATACATATATATAATTTAACAGAAAATAGAAGAAGTGTCATACTGTATTATAAGAATTAGTTCCATATATGGAGCATTCCAACAATGATGTTACTGCAACATTATATACTCTGTGCTATATGAGTTTAATAATATAATATATTGTGTGGCTTTAACTATAATCTGTATACTTATTTCAACAAATAAATATTTTGTGTTAATGTAGTTCAACATACTCACTCAATAAAAATATATATGTAAAAACACTCAATAAGAGAAAAAATGTATTATTTCATTTATGTCGATTTCATACTCAAAAAAATAACATAAATATTCTTGAGTATACACTATATACGATGTTTTTTTTAACATTGTTAAACTCTCATTATTTTAAAGATAACTCGTTATAACATTATTATGTTATTTTACTTTAAAATGCTTATAAATCATTATGCACATAATTACATAATAATAAGTATAGTAAGTAGTTATTATGTAAATAAATAAATAATAATAGAATAATCGGTATACTTTTTTTGAAAGAATATATAAATAAGTATTATAAAGAGAGAGAGAGAGAGAGAGAGAAAGAAGTAATCAATAAGCATTTCAGTTTAATTAAAGATTAAAAGGAATAAAAAAATACATGTATCAAATTTAAGAAAATAATTATTGTTACTAATGATTTATGTATGTATATCATGTGATTATAGCTATTTAAATTTTATTTTTACGTATATATCTTCTATTAGTATTGTTATACACAAATTAGCAGTAAAGTAACAATGTAATTTCAATAAATTATAAAATCATCATATTTGTTTACTAACAGTATTAACTAATTCGCAACAAATATTGTACGCAACACGTACAATACATAATTTATGCACACAATCTTTTATGTAATGTCTATGAGCGCATAAAGTGTGATTCTTAAAAGCTGTGTGTATGAGACATACTTAAAAAATCATACGTAAAAAAAATTTAAGCAATAACATATAAACAATAGGCAATTCAACATTTTGGATTTGCTATTGCTTGCGTTATCTTATATCTCTCATGCAATTAGCCAATTTGCTTACTGCTTATGTCTTACGTTTTCATTTGTGTTCTTTATAGTTTAATTAACACCATCGACGCATAACTCATAGACGAATGGCTGTTCAATTTATTATCAAGTTTTATATCTATCATATTATATCTCAAAAACTACTGCTTAGAATGACAAATGATAAATATTTATATAGATAATTTATTTTTTCGAGACTTTCTTGGTATAGTATTTGATTTGAAAAAATTTAGGGACAAATTATATATACATATATATACAGGATGTGTCAAAAATATGGAAATGGTCGAATATTTTGAAAGTAAAGCCTTTTTAAAAAAAATGTTTCAAACAAAAGTTGTAGGGTTTAAGAAGATCTATTCACTGATCACATCCCCTTGAATTTGGGTGACGTCACCAAGATTAGATCAAGGTCACGTTGATTTTTTTAAATGGATTCCCCTATTTTTCATTAGATATTCTTGTAGCTTACCTCAAGAGCTTTTCAAAACATTATAATAAAAGATTTTTTTATTAAGTATTTTTTTAGATATGTGGCTCGAAAGTTATAGTACACAATCGGCATTGGCGTTACTCAAGGTGTCAAAACGGTGGCTAAAACTTCTTGAATGTTGTTCAGGATTATGATCTTAATAACATTTGTTAATATCAAGATCGTTGGAGTCTGTTATTTTTATTAATGAGATAAGATCGACTTGATTTACTATTTGTTTCCTAACATCCGCTATCGGCAGACTTTGTCGTGTGTATAATGTTTTAATCTTGCCAATGCCAATGGTGTTCTGTAACTTTCGAGCCACATATCTCGAAAATATTTAACGAAAAAATATTTTATTATAGTGTTTTGAAAAGTTCTCGAGGTAAGCTACAAAAATATCTAATGAAAAATAGGGGGTTCCATTTTAAAAAATCGACGTGACCTTGATCTAGTCTTGGCGACGTTATCCAAGTTCAAGGGAATATGATCAGTGAATAGATTTTTTTAAACCCTACAACTTTTATTTTGAAATATTTTTCTCAAAAAGGTTTCGCTTTCGAGATATTCGACCGGTTCCATACTTTTAACACACCCTGTATATATAAAATTTATATAAAAATATAATACAGATAAAAGTCAAGCAGTAAAGAGTTTGATGATAGACTCTAATAATAAAGTAATAGTTTTGATAAAGTCAAAGATAAAATCGGAATTACATCCTTGCACCATTAGTAAATAAACAGGAAATACATAACGCGTTTCATTTGAATTACAAATATATGAATTAGCTTAAATACGTAATCAACTCAGATAAGTAATTTAAATTTAAATAAGTAGTAAGAAAAAAATGATGCATGTAGGTGATTGTATGTGAAATTACGTTAGTTTTCGCATAGTCTGATAGAACATAAGACGTATTTTTTTTATCTCTCGATAAAGTCAACAGTAAATGTGTATAATAACTGCAAAACATCCAGGTTTTTGATTTGTAAAAATCTAATATACATTTTATAATATAAATTTTGCTCATATGTTATACAATACAAAAGTGCAATTATTAAATAATTTAGAATATCTTATGGTAGGTGATTACTATAGTAATGGTAACTAGTTACTTTTTCTATTTGGTAACTGTAACTTATTACTTTTAAAAAGTAACTTTTCATTTCCCCTGCTACTTTAAGAAGTATTCGTAATAATTTTTATTGAGGGGTGTACTAATTGCATGCATATCCACGGACACACAACAATGCAGCAAGCTTGTGTTTTAATTAATACATATACCATATATACTTTATTTTTTATTACTTCGCATTTCCTCTACAAAATAATGCTTATATCATAGATGTTATTAAAATTCAAAATCCCATGCAGTGCACTAGAACGTAGATGTAATGTAAACAATAATCGAAACACAAAACAATAGTCATGTAGCCATATTATCACTTTATAATTTGTTTTGAATTTTAATTTTCAAGGAATTATCGTGTAACTAAGGATACAGCAATGTTATTTTTTTTATAAGCAATTAAATAAGTTCAACTTGTTTATTTCTTTTACGTTTCCTACTGTAGGTATTATTTATGTATTATATAATTATAGATAATCTAAATTTGAATAGTGTGTCAGAACAAATTGTATATACATTTATGAAGAAATTTCTCTTTTCCATCTCTTAATTGTGCATGTTATAATCTTTAATTTATATATCATTTTAAGATCAAATACGAATATTTTTTTTGTTATTTTGTACTTAATATACAGGGTGTTCAAAAAAGTTCGGGATCCCTTATTTACTCTGAAGGTTTTTGAAAAAAATATTTAGATAAAAGTTATGTGTGTGTGTGTGTGGTATAAAAAACCTATTTGTAGATTTTATAT